CACGGATTAAAACGGCAGCATGACTGTAAGTGACAGCTACTATGATGCTAGGCGGTATTCTTTTCGACGTGAGTGTGTGAGTGTAGGATGTCGAGGAAGCGACATCCGTGACCTTCACCCCGCGCTAACCCTTGCTTCTGTTGATAATTGGCAACTGCAGGTCGTAAAAGGAAGGAGGACCCAACAAGCCCTCCAGTCTATTTTGCAGCCAAATTTGTACCGGAGCAATGGGTTCGTTCCTTTGTACCGCTAGTCTAAGGCGGACCGTAGCCTCTGATCTAACAGTCCCGTCTAGTAAGGTAGTAAGCGTCTAAGCGTCTAATCCATCCCTCTCAACCATCCGTCTAACGACGTCAATAACCTCGCTCTGCCTATCACTAACTCCCATCCCCGGTTCCTTGACCATACTCTCCAGCACGCCATCCAACATGCCCCTCAACCGACTAACCAACACACCAATCCTTGCCCAACCCCTCAGCCTAATCCACTCATCAACGACCAGTCCCCTACCCAGCGTATCGACCTTGATCTCTCCAGCGAACAACAGCAGACTGTATGCGTTGAATGGCGTGATGTCCCTAATGAAGACTTTACTTGTAGCCATCTTGTTGAAGTACGCAATGAAAGAAGCGTTGTGTGGGAAGGTCTGACTGGCGAAGAGGGTAGATGACGGGTGAACAAAGACGCGTCCGTTTTCTTGGTTGAAGTACTTAATTTCGCGAGCCGAGGGATCAAGCTCAACGGCTCCAGCTATGCCTGCTGCGAACTTCTTGTCGGGGAGCTGGATGCGTGCGATCTGTGGGTTGAAGGACCCGGCTATCAGAGCACGCAACAGCGCATCGTTTGCATTGTGTTTGTTATAGTACGAGTGTGTGGAAGGATTGGCGGAGGAGTAGTGTGTCGGAATGAAAGAAATCTCCTTGAGAGACGACAGGTACTGGGTGCGATTGGACGCGATGTCGAACATGGTTTGGGGGTTCAGTCGGTTCTCTTGACACCAGAAGCGGAGGTCTCGTGTCGATGTCCCTTTACTGCGCAATGCAGACCATTGTTCGTATGCTCGAAGGTCTACAAGAAGGTCTCCCTGGTTGTTAGAGAAGGAAGCGCGGAGACGATCGAACTCATTTCGGGTCTCTTGATCTCGCTCTCGTGGCGATATGAACGGGCTGCGAGCCGTGAGAACAGACGCGATCGTCAGTACAGCTTCAAGACAGCCAAACGTCGCGCCATATACTAGAAGCTTGCCCAGTCGGAGATCCGCGGGAATCATGGACATGTGTCGGCCAAGTGCAGTGAGTTCATCGTCTGTGATGGCACCCATCTGTGAGAGCAATTGGATCGCTCCCTCTACCGCTGTACTCTCTGGCGGTGTGAGCGCTGAAGCAAGGAAGTCTGTAACGTCCTGAACCCCCATTGCCTTGATAGACAGACACATTTGCTCAAGTGGCACACGGCGAATCTCCGGATCCGGTCGCTCCATCATCTTGGCTTCAGCGTTGCGTGTGTACAGCTTGTAGCAGTCGCCTGCTCGGACACGCCCCGCCCGACCTCGTCGTTGTTTACATGCCGCCCTCGAAGCCCAGGTTTCAGCAAGACGAACCATGTTGTTTTGCGGGTCGTAGCTTGTCTCCTTGACCCTACCCGTGTCGATGACAGCGACGATATCCTCGATAGTGATCGACGTTTCTGCGACGTTGGTACACGCGATGACCTTACGCTTTCCATGGGGAGCAGGAGGGAACACACGCTTTTGCTCGACTGGCATGAGTGATGCATGTAGAGGCAATGCATGGAGGTTAGCGAACTGGCTGAGCGCTTGGAGCGTACGATCAATCTCCATAGTACCAGGTAGGAAGATAAGTATACCTCCATCCTTTGTACCGAGCTGGCGGTCAATGTGACGAACAGTCTCCGCGATGAGGTCGTAGTTGATGCCGAATCCGATACTCCGGAGATTTGCTGAGAACGATTTGTCCTCGGAAGCATCTTCGTCACCCATACCATATCCCTTGAACCCGGTGAAATGTACGACATCGTCGACATAGTAGTCCGTCACAGGATGAGTGCGACCCTCAATTTCGACACGGCCTACGGGTCCGACCTCTTTGAAGTAGGCTTCAAAAACAGCAGCATCGAGAGTGGCACTCATCAAGATGACCTTGAGATCTTGCCGCTTTCGTAAGATCTGGCGCAAAAGAACGAGCAAAAAGTCCGTGTCCAAGCTACGCTCGTGAACCTCGTCGACGACAACGTGACTGACATCGGCCAGGGCAGCAACGACATCGTCGGCATTGCCACCCGACGTTTGAAGACGTCTTAAAAGTACACCAGTCGTTACAAACGTGATCTTAGTAACTCCTGGCTTCTGTTTAGATTCTCCGCGGATAGTGTACCCAATCTCGTCGCCGACCTGAGAGCATCGCTCATCGGCCACACGATCAGCAAGACCAAGTGCAGAGATCCTGCGTGGCTGGGTACAGATGATGTTCGCAACAGCTCCAAGCTGTCGCTGTATAAGATCATCGAGGACGAACTGCACCGATTGAGTCGATTTTCCCGATCCAGTCTCACCTGAGATGATAGTGACCTTACAGTGGTTAACGGTGCGGACAATCTCATCCCTCAACCTCCACGCGGGTAGTGACTGCCGAGCGTTCATCATCTTCTGCTGAGCTGGAGATCCTTGCTTAGCCTGCCAATCCGACAATATTCTTTGGCTAGTAGGTGTGGCGGGTGTCCAGTCGATAGGCCTTCTGGGTCGTCCCTTTGCTCTTCGTTTTTGACTTTGCTGTTCCGACGAGTGATCTGCTGCTGCGAGGCCAGACGAAACATCGGTCAATCTTCCTGGGTTCTGGAAGATATCACCAGCGTTCGTTTGGATCCAGTCTACGATATCGTATACCATAGGCATGCCAATGAAGTTGGCTTCAGCGTGGAGAAGCGCTTGGCGAATGATGCTCAAACGGATATATGCTGGGATGGCCGCCTCGAACGTGATGATAGGCACGACCGCGGGGTAAGGACCAAAAGGCTTCCTAACCTGTAGTATGAGCCGCTTTCCTTGTTGCTTAACGTCTAGCTCTATGCGACAAGATTCGGGCGCAGGGCGCGAAAACAGACCGTCGTATATTGCCTCAAGTGATGACATCTCCACCTCCCACGGATCGTCCTCTGAAGACGTCTCAGGCTCCCCATTGCTCAGCGAGAGATCTTCCAGGTCTTGTACTAGGCTAATGTCGTCCTCATCTGGTCGGAGCAGACGAGCTTGTAGCAAAGCTGCGGCCCTTCTTTCATCACTGCCTTGGGTATCGTATGCTTCTTCGCAAAGGTCCATAGAGTATCCGGCTGCAGCAAGGCGCTTCACAGCACCCTCACGCTTGAGGTTAGAGCTAGCCATACTGACGCCAGCAAAGTAGCCTTCTGGTAGCGACCACGATGGTAGGTCGTCTTCAGGTACATGAATCAGAAGCCATTCAATAATTTCCTCGCGATCTTTGCAAATATCGGCGGCCTCCTCGACGTGGCTTCTCCGAAAGCCAAGATTCGCGATTTCCTCGACTAGTCGGTTCTTTATAGACGGCGCCATCTCAATGCCGTTCGGGTTCCATAGTGCGTCCCGGCGGATAAGACGCTCGGCTTCTTTGCGTGTTCTCTTCCCGAGTTCGATCTTGGGCACTCTCTCCCATCCCTTGAGCAAGTTCCGGCTAGGAGCTGGACCGTTAGAGCTTGGCATGGCGGCACCTGGCTGTTGGTTGTGGGCTTTCTGCGCCTCTTCCTGCTGCTTCTGTCTCTTCTCACGCGCCTTTGCTGCTGCCTCCCTCGCCTTCTCCCTTTCAGCGAAACCAAAGAAGGGGTCCGCCTCATACATCCATCCTTTGCCTTCTTGTTCATCCCTCTTCTTGAGCTCCATGAATTGTCCCTTCCAAAGGTCTTTGTACGTGGGCGGAAGCATGGTGTGGAGGTTCTTCCCGCTGGCGACTCGGAAGAGAGTATAGGCGGCGGCAAAGTTGCGCGCTTCGACGGCAGTAGGCTGATGGGCTTGTTCTTCGAGCTCCGACGGGATCTTGATGGGAGGTAGGGTGGTGGTCTGTCGTGTCTTCTGGTTCATCTTGGACAGTACCACAGCGTAGGCAAAATGCTGGTCGCCATCTTTCCGCTGCTGTAATTAGAAATGACCTGCTACTACGGCGCGGCTACTTACGATACGATAGTCAGGCTTGCTCCACTGCTGTTTCTGGAAGTGTTCCGACAGGAGGTTGACCGGGAGCTTTCCTGTCCACGATGCGCCTGCAATCAGGGTTCTTGTATCTGGCTTCTTAGGACCATCCTCAGCAGCTCCAGCAGCGGACTTCCCTTTGCCCTTACTCTCGCTCTGGGCAGCATCTCCGCCAGAACTCTCGCCCTTCTTCTTCTTGGGTTTGCCGTCACCGAACACAATGAATGATGTATCCTCCTCAGGAGGCACAGTCTTCTTGGCGGGCTTGCCGCGGGGAGGGTGAGCGTTCTTGGGCATCGTGCGCGATGTGGATAGTGTAGTTGAATATCCCAGATTCCATAGAAGTATACTCAGGAAGAAAGAGTGGAGGTATGATAATGTGATTTGTTCGTGGGCGGTGAGAAGGGCGCAGTCGCTAATGAAAGGGCTCAACCACCGGGATCAAGATTGCACCACCCTTCAGCGAGTCCAAAGAGGAAAGAAGCACCTATGATGGCAGCCATCGCGAGTTCCTGGCGCTTTCACTCGAACGCGATGCGCAATCCGAAATTCCGATGATTGCAGGGATGCCTCGGTACGCTTGGACCCACTCCGAGCCTCATCGTCATCGTTGCTTCACGAAACCCTCACGAAGCATTCACGAGTATCGATGCGCCCACTGGCCCCAAGCTGGATAGCAACCCGATTATTTCGAGCCCCTATCATACAAACCTCGAACAAGCATACGAGATCTTTTCGCAAACCCAAACGCGACAACAAATCGACAATGACCGGCCGCCCAAACATGACGGATACCCACGATGCCATTACGGACAAAGAGATAGCAGGCAGGGAGACGGCAAATCAAGCTCAACCCGCAATCGACCCTGCCTCTTCGAAGCGCCCCAATGCATGTACGTCTCATCGCATGCCTTCAACAATCTCAACGCGCAACCTTAACTCACGGTGCAGTCACAGAACTCATGACGCAGTCGAAGAAACCAAAATCACCCATCGTTTCCGCCGCAGACGGCCCCAGTACGACACAGAAGGCTTCCAAGACAGCGAAGCGCTGGGATGGACGGAACGGGCTAGGCGTCTATATCGAGAGCCCGGAGACGAACCCTGAGAACAAGATACTGGAATACGACGATGACTTTGTCGTAATAACCGACAAGTACCCCAAGGCGAGTTATGTGCCCATGGTGTTGGATAAACTAAGGAGAACTAGCGCGCTGACAACCAACAAGTGTACATCTTCTGCTCATCCCGCGGAAACAGGTCTACTACAATCAGCACCCACTCCAAGCTCTTTCCACAGACCCAGCCTTCCTCGCCGAAGTACGAAAACGCGCCGTCCGTCTCAAAGAACTCGCCGCGTACGAACTCCGACGTCAATATGGCGACTTCAGCGCTTCAGATAAACCATACAATGAGGCTTTTGAGGCAATGATGAGCTCTCCTGACCCGCCACCTCCACCCGAGGAGCGCGCAGCACTGCTCCCACCCGGCCGCGACTGGTCTAAAGATATCGTAGTAGGCGTACATACCCATCCCTCGATGAACCATCTACATATACATATCTTCAGTCGGGACATGCATTCAGACTGGATGAAGCACAAGAAACACTATTTGAGCTTCAACAGTAGTTTCCTGGTTCAATTAGACGAGTTCCCTCTAGAAGAAGATAGTAAGAGGTTTTCTCCCGGAGATTGGCCTAGTTGGGACATGAAGTGTTGGCGATGTGGGAAGAACTTTAAGAATAAGTTTGCGGCATTGAAACAACACCTCAATGAAGAGTTTGACGAGTGGAAAAGGGAATGAATATGGCACTTTTGGCCTTGAACATCATGCCCGAATTGAATATATTTTGACCCTGAAGCCTACATTGCATCACAAGTTTGCGAAGCTTCGTTGTTGACACCAATGTAGACTGCGGGGTGCTCATGAGTGGCCACTTGATTCAGGGTACATTTAAACTTGCTAATGTCTGAGATTCTATCGAGCCTTCTTCCACCTGGCGACTTAGTCACACAAACCTCCGTACTCCCCCATCTAGCGAACAACCAGGGTTTTGACCACGTTGGTGTCGATATCATGCAAGCTCGCTGGGAACTTGCAAGACTCGCCGAAAATACAGCTCTTCGTGCCCTTGGCGTGGTGAATCTTGTTGGGCGGTGCTGGGCAGCGGTGGCCATAGATACACCTAATATCCTGACAAACACTGCCGTTGCTGCAAGGTGCCATGCGGGCGACAAGACGGAGGGTAGCCAACTCGTCGCTGGTAGGTTTGTACGCATGGAGATGGGTGCATTTAGTGTCGTAGGGGCATTCGGCTCGAAGGAAATGAACGTTGCACAATTTGATCTTCTTCATGCGGTCCACCTCAGCCTTATCGTAGTCCTTACACGGCGGATCGACGCGTTGGCCGGCGCGGTTACGTGCGATGACTTCTTCACGGTTCGCGGGCTTGTACACGGGGGTCTCTGTAACGGGTGGCGGCGGAGCAGCGGCCTTAGCGGCCCAGTTCAGCAACGGCGCTGGTGGGTCTGGCTTGAGTGCTGGGAACGTACTGTCCGAAGCCAGTGTTGATGTGGAAGGCGTTCTAGGCAAAGTCATCATTGCCGCTCGGTTTGGCAAAGGACTATCCATGATCGGGGACTTTGATGGGGCTGGGAACCGGCTTGGGAGACCTGTCGAAGCTACAGACGCCTTAGAACTATCGTTCGAGTCGATCCTGCCCGGAACAAATGCTGGTGGAAGGCCGTTGGCGTATGTACTGGCGGCGTATGTAGGTCCAGATCCCCAAACTACGAGCTTGGTCTCCCTGAAGAGACCTGGAAACTTCTTCGTTTGGTACGGCAGGCCGACGAGTTCCTACAGAGAGGTGAGGTTAGCGTCCGGGCTGTACGAGTGTTCGTGGATTCATGGCTCGCGCGAGTCAGTCACGTACCTTCTCAAATGGAACACCCTCAAGGAGAACCACCTTGTTTGTCACCTGAAGGCGATCGGAGCACTGCTCAAGCGTTCGCGCGTAGCCATTATCGTGTGAGCACCCGAAGAAGATCCGACGGCAATGATAATCTTGGGAGTATAATTTGAATAATTCTAAGATTGTCAGTACGGTCAGAAGCCTACATGGACGTCTAGACTCGGAAATAGCTTAGGATAGTGGGTTTTGTGGAATACATGGGGCTGGAGATGTAGTAGGACAGTGGTACTCACCGATGATCTTCTCGTCAGCGCGATCTTTTCCCGCACCGACGTCGATAAAGTCGAACAATGTCTTTCCCCGCGTGAATCCACGCACGAAGCCCTCGAACTCGATGATGTCTTCATAAACCCCCCTGCGTACGAGCACGTCGCCCAGCCCCCGAACGTTCGCATAGATGCGGCAGGCGATGCGGTAACCGAATGGGATATCTTGGCACTCATTCTCGATATACTCGTGGATATCGGCGAACAATTGGACAGCAGCCCGGCGGCCACCTTGCTCTCCTTCGCGGAGGAAGTCGTCGCTAAACTGGTATGTAGTCAGCAAAATGCACTCAACTCGCAGTACGTGAAGCTCACAATCATGCCGTCGCCGTCAATCAGTACCATAACAAATGGATTCTCAGCCTGTCACGTCCAAGTCAGCTCCAAAGCGATGTGTGGCTGGATGGGATTACCATATTCCGCTGCAGGTTCCGGTGCGACCTCTCGTATTGCTGCTTCTCATTTTGCCATGCGAGGATCCAGTTGCGATCGCGGTCGCGTTCGGTGGCCAACATCTGGTACTGTAGCGTACGAAATTAGTACATGCCCCACACGTCTTTCGCACAGTCAGAGCTTACCTGTTGGTGCATATATTCATACCGATTTTTCATTTCCTGTTGCGCGTCAGTCACGACTGCGTGATAGTGACAGTGGCAGTGCACGTACGGTCATGAACTTGGCCTTTTCTTCCTCGTACAGCTGGAATTGCTCGAAGCGTCTGGTAAAGTCTGCTAAATCCGCGTCGGAGGGGCCCGGTGAAGCCAGGCCAAGGCCGCTGAGCGAAGGTGACATATCGCAAAGGGCGCAGGCGATCGGCGAACAGGTGTGTGACTGAATAATAGAGAATCGAATGGCTGCGATTTACGTGTATGAGAGAAGGCAGAAAGAAAGCAGGTGCAGGAGGGTCGAGCGCTCTTTCTGCGGTTAGTAGAGATTTTTCAAGCCCGAATAGGAAACCGTAAGTGAAGGTGAGTTATTGCGGTGACATTAACTATCACTGGGCAGTGAAGACGGCCAGTCTGGCTTTTAACGGTATGCAGCCATGCGCAATGCCGGCGGGCAGCCACTCCAAGGCGGTGTATATGCAATTAGCAAACTGCAGAACCATGGGTGCCGCTGGGTTTGAAATAGAAGGAGCGACATTTGCGGCGTGGATGCCATGTACAACGCGATATGGCGCGTACCAGGGAACAGTCTATACTTGGAAGGGGCCAGCCACAGAGAGTGTCAAGCGATAGCTCATCTTGACGCAAGGATGATAGAAATAAAATGACCTAGAAGTCTACATTGCGCTCAGGTTTTGCGACATTTCATGTTCATAATGATGTAGGCTGCAGTGCACCTGTTCACCATCTTCGTTGTAGGGGAGGAGGTGGAGAGACGGTGTCGCGGCTCTAGTTCCGTCCTCCGACGCCAAGAGGCAGCTGCGCCCGGACGTCACTTCCCAGAAGCCACGTTCGAATTACCCCATCTGTTCCCACACGCCGTCCCTCCTCCTCTCATCCCTCTCCCCGTCTTGTGTCGTCTTCATCATGGTCAATTGGAAGTTTTCATCTCTGCTCCTGCTCTCTCTCCGAGCTCTCGGCACCTATGCTGAGCCCGCGGTAAGCTCCAAACTTTCTGACGCAGCATGACATCAGATGGCTAACGGTCGCGTCTCCAGGCTGAGAAGGTGCAACAAGCAGTAGACGAGCCGCAAACGCCCAACCTCAACGTCGCCGTTTCCGTCTCTTTCCCCCAGTCTGAGATCTTCGGCGTCAAGCTCGTCAACGGCCAGGCCACCCAGGCGCGTCTGTCCGTGGTCAACAATGAGCCAACCCCCGTCGGCGTCACCATTGTTGGTGGCTCGTTGATCCAGGAGATCAAGGGAGAATCTCAGGTCCTTCGCAACCTCACTCGCCAGCGCTACTCCATCCAGATCCCCGCTGGCGCCAACGAGACGATTCCCTACAGCTTCACGACGGAGATGCACCCCCAGAATCTCCGCCTCCAGCTCGTGACTGTGCTGAAGGACAGCAAGAACAACCTCATCACCGTCCCTGTCTACAACGAGACTGTCAGCATTGTTGAGGCGCCCACTAGCTTCTTCGACCCCCAGATGTACGTAGCAATCCACCACTCAGCCTGGACACATGTACTTACTTCTCTCTAGCATCTTCCTGTACCTCGTCCTCCTTGGCGCGTTCGGTGGAACCGTGTACTTCATCTACAACACCTGGATCTCCACCTTCTTCCCGCAGAAGAAGGGCCGCGGCAAGGGTGGCGAGCGTGCTAAGGCGTCTTCGGGCCAGAGCAAGAAGGTCGACCCCGCCGACCAGGTTGCCGTCGTTGGTGCTGATGGTCCTGCTGTCACTTCCGGCGCAAAGGCCTACGATGAGAGCTGGATCCCTGCCTCGCACCTTCAGCGCCCCGAAGCCAAGCGCGTCCGCAGCGGCCGAGCTTAGATCCCCTGAACTCGACTTTGAATTCTTTGGGACAATTGGATAATACGAACGGCATGTCAGCATGCGTGTTGTGTGGATATGCTTGCATGTTCGGATACCTGGGCGCAGTTGTGCGCTGCAAGATACGTTAATGCTGCGGATGCAGAAGGCTTGGATAATGAGTTGGATGTACTATATCGCGACGTCTAAAAGTTGGCCGACCTTGTACGATGTGAAAAGAAATGTCATTTCTCTGACTACGACTTGCCAGACATCCGCCTGAACGTGCTGTCGTGGATGCAGCCTTGGAACACCGTTACACCGCAACAATGACGAACTGGGCTCACATGTCGGGCTGATTTCTCAATACCCGCGGAGTATGGCTTCTCGCATGCATTGCTTTGCAGTTACACCCGCAGTATACGTGTGTACTACGCATATATATTCACGCTAGTGCAAGCCGCAAAAGAAACGTTGTAGAGCAGAGCATGTATTACACCGTTCGCTGAGGTTACCTGTGATCCATCAGCTGCCCCGCATCGCGATCTCCATGCCAGTGTCGTACATGCCATCTAAACTTACTCCGCTCAAAACAACATCTCTCGTATCCAGACTCACGGGAGATCCTCCGACGTCGGCGATCTACCTCGCGTCGTATCTTTCATCTCAGGCTAAAACTTGTCCAAACATTCGGTGGAAGCATGCTAGAAGCTCTGTGGCCGTCAAACCAGACGCCGTTGCTTCGCCCTAGCCAGTGTTCGCGGAGGCCCACCCCGCACTTTAGGCTCCGTGCATGACGTGTCGCAGCCTCCCATCTCCAAACAAGCACACACACGAGCACCATACAAAGTTCAAACACGCACCAACTACCATCACACGCCTCGGCACCTTGGCTGCTTCTCGAATTGTGTAGGTGTGTAAGCTGCAAGTACAATGCGCAATGCGATGCGCCTCTCGGCCCTTTTTTGCTTTTCCGGGCGTTTGGGGGGTGGAGGTGGAGGGTCGGCTCGCGCAAACTGGGGGAAAAGACAAATTGCTCAAAGCACCGTAGTCGCACACGGAAAACCCACCCGGGGTAACGGGAGCTAGATGAGCTGGACGCAACCCACGATCGCGTGCATGTCGTTTAGTCTGCGTTGATCG